GATGGCAAGAAATGACCGACTTGATTCCAAAGACACATGGCAGGCGATGTTCCTGAAATGTAACCAAATAAAACCTGAACTGATCGCGAGCACACGACATGGAGGGCAGTAGCAAAAGGGTTTAAGTTGTACCCCGCCCTGCTCTGTTGTGCTCTACTTTAGCAACCGAGGCCACAGTAACAACTGAATAAAAACAACTATGATCTCACCACTTTCACCCTCCTTCTCACTGCCATTACTTTCAAAATCAGCTGCTGTTTGCCACCAGCTGGGATCTGAACTGCACATTTTGGTGGATTTACACATTTTGGGGGTTGATCTGCGAGAGTAGAAGAAACACACACACACACAAAGAGCAGGAAGAGACATAAAAGATCAGTGAAAATATTTTGTTCAGATATGGCATAGTATCTTCCTGTACATGAGGTTGTGTTTTGTAAACGCATTTGTTTTTCTAAAGTGTTTTTAAAGGGCATTTCACCTTAAACAACAGTTCAGTGAAACCAACTCATTTCAAACTCGCTTTGAACAATGGTCAAGGTTCACCATTATTATTGCACTTTTACAAAAAGGGCAGGGATGGCTTTAGGGGGTTGGTCTTTCTCCATAGCCGTCTTTCCTCCGAAGTAGAATAAACAGCGTGGCGATAAGTCTAGACAGAGTGGGGAAACCTCTCCTGCGGTCACTCAGAAACCCATGTCCTCCAGGTGGCCGTGGGTCCGTGGAGGCGGGTCCTCTCCTCCTCAGGGCGGTGGGATGGAGGGCTCAGTCACAGCCAGTTCTTGAGCCAGGTCATTGAAGCGGGCGATGTAGTCCACGCTGCTCTCACTCATCATACAAGCAAGCTGGGAATCCATCTGCAAGCAGGACCAATAAGCTTTCAATCTACAACAGAAATAACAACTGACACTTTTTCTTTCCCCAGGGACCTCTTGACTTTAAAGGAAGAGTTTGACATTTATATGAGCTGGATGAGAAGATTCATCCCACTCTCATATCTGTCTGTAGCTACAGCCAGCAGCCACTAATACACATAATAAAATCCACCTACATCCCAGCCAAGAAATAGTCCAGACATTGTATTTTTTACACTTCTGTCTTTGTACAGATTAAACAAACGCGATTCCCTAAGATGTCAAACTATTCCTTTAACAAGGAATCCCATTTTAAAAAATTGCAAATTTATAGATGATGCCAAAAAGGGCTCAACTTACTTCTGCCACATCAGGAAGGCCACGGGACTGAAAGGAATCATGGGAGTTGCAGTCCAGGAGGCTAGGACCAAGCAAAGCTGTGCCGCTAGAGGGGCCCGTGGGGGTTAGGGTGGTCCGCCTGCCCTTATCAGGAGTGACCATGCTGGCTGGAAGAGAAGAGGCAAACAGAGAGACAGTGAATAGAAGGGACCGCACACACGAGCAGTGGAAATAAAGCTGTCTTCATGGGACATGACGTGTTTCCAGCGTTACTGAGGTGATCAGACACAGAGAGCGTTTCTGCTGCGTAGTCGCTGCTGCCAGCCCCATCTTTTGAGTTTGAGTAACAAAGCCCTGTTAACATATGAATGGATTCTGTCCAAAGAAACGCTGGAGAGCTTTCAGTCTTAAACAGATACAGCTATGTGTTGAGCTTTAAAAAACACATTTATATTTTTTATTTTTCCATGTCTGTGACATATTCTACAGATACAGACACTGAAACTGTAGGTTTGAAACTGACACACTGAAAGGTGTACATGTTGCTGGTGTTGATGTCGGTGTCAATGTTGGTATAACTGAACAGACCCCTTTCACTGTCTATTTCACTGTTTATATTTGTCAATGTGTGGCTCACAGGAAAAATAGGCGAGACCTCAACTGTCTAGTGAAGCGCTGCTGAAGCCACAGCTGAGACGCTCGATCAAGGCAGGCGGTGTGGCTGCTCTAACCTGTTAAATAATAAACCTTTGAAATAAAAAGTAAGATGTTTCGCCTCGCGCTGCAGGAGCAGGCAGTGTGTACCGGGCTTTTGGATACAAGACACACGGAGGAGACAATCTGAAAAAACAAAGATCTGTAATGCCGTCTGCTCATTTAATAGTAATAAAAAAAGACTTACAGAGGAGGCATCCTAGTGTGGAGTCAGATGAGTCGCTGGGGTACCACTGGGGGTCATGGCTGGGCGATGGGATCCAGCCTCTGGATGGGCTGACTGACGGAGACGAGGCCAACAGCTTGGAGCTGTCATTGTTGCTCAGCTTGGCTGGAGAGAGAGCGGCCTCCTCCCCTGCAGCGACACAGGCAAATAGCCATTAGATTACACACACAATGTTCAATAAGTCTGACGTCTGACAGGTTTAGTTGGCTGCATATTAACATATTTCTTCCACAGAATATTGGGGCTGTACCAAAGTCAGAATTTTGTCAGTCAAATTGGATTTAGCTATTCAATACAAAGATTAGACTATTCTTTACTTCTTTTTACTTGAGTGCCACACTAAACTCCTCTAAGCAGTTCTTGTGGTGGAAACGCGGCCACATGAGTCTCATGTCTCCTGCCGACTCCATTTTAATGCTAATACCCTTCTGCCACATGTCATTTTTTACAGAAATACACTTTAGGTTTCCAAGTAAATGTTAGCATCTAGGACAGAAACACACACACACACACACACACACACACACACCGTAGTGGGCAGAGTTGATGGCGAGCTCGATAATGGAGTCACTGATGTGTGTCTGAGGTTCTCCGGGGGCGAGAGGCTCTTCAGGAGGACCAGGGAGAGAGATGTCCAGGAGCGAGGCCACACTGGGTGGAGAGAGGAGAGAGTCCCCACCACCGGTCACTCCAGGAGACGGTGGAGGCACACCATTCTGTGAAAAGAACAAGTTGAACACTGCATTGAGGGGATTTTGTTGCACTGGTTCTATTTCCTTTCATGCGTTTCCTACCGAGCTGGCCAAAACAAACAACCCACGAAACCCGACTCTCGCTGGACAACGGAGCACTTGAGACTCAACATTATGCAAGGCATACACTAATGACACACTAACAGTGAATAGGGCCTTCACAAGCAGTACTTTACTGTGACGAGTTCCACTTCACCCTCATTGTATAGTAGTCATTCTTCATCCCAGGGGTCGTGTTAACTGATTATATTCATTGACTGAATAGTTTTAACAATGACGGAAAAATCTGAAGGGCGTCCGACGTTTTGTCAGATGAACACTGAAGGCGATATACTAGAACGTAAAGTATAGTGTCAATAACCACATGTAGACCACCTGTAGTCCCCCCCCCTGTTCTGTTGGTAGCAAGGCAGCATCGCTACATAGCCTAGTTACTGCAAAATGTTTTCTACCACTGTACAAAACCTGGATTATACTGTAGACATGACCAGAGTAATTCACTAGAGTGAGGAACAACACAGCAAGTGAGGAGGGACATTAAACCGTGTATGTGTGTGTATGCAAGTGTGTACCGCTGACCTCTGGGACATTGTGCTGAAGGAGTTGAGAGTCTGGTTCAGCATCAACAATGGGTGTGGTGGCGAGCATGGGGCTGTTGTCAACAGAGGGAGAACTCAGCTCCCTACAGGGACTGCCAGGGATGATACCTGCAGACTTAGCTGCCTGGTCAATGGCACCTGAAAGAGTATTAACAGTTTAGAAACACAAGGGATTTGTCACATCAGCACATACCTGATTGAAGTATTAACAGTAACAGACTAGCACGTGAAGATGTACCTAGTGAAAGTTTTCAGAGGTCAAAACTGTAGTTAGTAAATACTAGTAAGTATGTACGTAGTTTAGTTTTGTTTGTGTTTATGTAGTCTTCCGGTTTTGTTGAGCCAATTTAGTGAAGGATCCATGTCATAACATATTTGTTTAAAATCCAATTAAAGGAGAATTTCAAAATAATAAAAAAGCTACTTATACATGTTACTGTTTCATTTACAGTCACAGGAGGATGAAGAATTCAAACTCAAACTGAAAACTGTAGTAGTACAACATGCATTATACTCTATCTTAAGTTTTAATAAAACAGAAACAACTGAAGAATAGATGAATTAATAAAAGCAGTACGCACTGGAGAGCTGGCTGGCTGCTGCAGAGCTGGACGCTGCAGGGGAAACTTTGGTCAGGGGGGGGCGGGAGGAAGGAGCAAGGCGAGTATGGATTGGCCGGAAGGATCCAGTTCCTGAGGGAAGAAACAGGAAGTGAGAGGGCGAAAGATTTGTAGAGTTGTTGTTGAAAAAACAGAAATTACATTTAGTTATATACAAAGGGCACATTAGCAGAGTGTATTACCAGAGTTAACACACTGCTCTACTTCCAGCAGTTTAAACTACAGTATAGGGGAAAAGACAAGTACCTGTGGCAGAGGAGTTGGAGAGGATGGAGAAGGAGCAGACATGCTGAGGAGTATCTCCTGTAGTTCGGGGTAGGAGTGTTCGCTGTGAACAAGAACAAGTCTCTTTTTAACATCTCATGACCTCACAACATAGCACAGAGAATGACTATAAAGACATATAGAGTACAAGCATTCAGCCCCACAAGGCAGCATTTAACACCTTCCCAATCCAACTATGTGGACTGTGAGTTTGTGCGTATGGTTACAGGCAGTTTCTTTGCATCATTTCATAACCAAACTACTTTTTACATTTTTAGCTACACCTGTAGGAACCATGTTTCCTCCATATACTTTATCAGTATTTGCGTCAAGGAGGCATTACAAAAGGAAGTTTATACTACTGTACAAAGCAACTGAGATGGTGTTCATTGCGGTACCACAGGAGGGATAAGGTAAAACGCTCTTTCCTTACCTGAACTACAAGCGGTTTTCGGAGTTGTCTGTTTCGAGGTTTTCTCTGTCTAGAAAGGAAAAGATCTGACTGCATCTGGAAAAAAGAGCACATCAACATTAATGCATATTCCTCTGGAAGATATACCAATTTTGTCTTCGTACAATTAGCGTCAAAAGTATTGCATTGCTCTGCCTTACACTGATAGAGTCGAGCTGCTGTCTGAAGGCCAACTCAGCTTCTTTGTTGGGGGAAAACATTCGGTTGTGCCGCGAGCTGTTGGGAGGCAGCGTGGTGGGTACTGCAAACACACCACTTTCTGAGTCGCTGCCCGCAGTCGACCCCAGCAGAGAGCGAGGGAGGTTGCGTCCACCTAAAGAAAGGAAGAACGAGTAAGACATGTCAATGTGAGGAGGGCAGTTATTTGAGAATAATGTAAAGCCATTGAACAACATCCAGTATTATTATTATTGTTCATTTCCAAACACACACACACAAGCAATTGCAGTTGATGCAGCGATACTGGAAAACATGGTATACAAAATAAATATTCAAACAATAACCCATGAAGGAGCAATATTAATTCCCATTGTTTAACAAAGACAACTACAGAACCATCAGCACCACCACACATTATCAGTAAAGATCAGCAGAAAAAAAGCTGATACGTGTGATATATGATTTATGTTGCATCATAAAGCATCTTAACCAGTCTTTCAAATCAATTTAAACCCCAGGTGTCCAGTCAGAGGGATTTTGTGCTGGTATGCAGTCATAAACATTTTAAACTTTATTGAACCAGCGCAATTGCTGAAGAGTTGAGCATGCTCTCTTGTAAATGTTCAGGCTTAATGGATCATCAGGCAACAAGAAGACAATAACCAAACTCAGTGGTACTGAAGAGGAAACAGAGCAAACCAGCGCGTCTAATTTTCCATCCTTGGTTAAAGCAAATGTTTTCTTTAAGTTAGTTGAGTGGCTGTTATTGAGCAGAGGGGTAGATGCCAGCCGGTCAGATCAGTCATCTCCATCATGGTCCTCCTCCTCACTTTGTGCCTACGGAGTTACCATGGTAACGCCACTAGCCCACACGCTGCCATTGTTATTGCCAAAACCACTCCCCCACAAATCCTGTGCCTCACCGTCACCATGGTTTATATTTTCAGCACTGATGTTTGTTTACTTTACTATGCACAGTATGTGTTAGGTGTCTGTGTGTACACATGCTCACCATCTGGGTCACAAAGTTTCTTCAGTGCACGGCACATGGGTGCTTTGATTCGCAGGTTCCTCCCTTTGGAGCGTACAGTGGTGGCCCTGGTCAAACACAGAACAGCAGTGAAATCTTTTTGTTTTTTAAGGCCAACCTAAGTTTGCTAACAAGTCACATAAACACAGACGACAGAGTAGCCTGAACAATTAGACATGACAAAAACTTTTCTCAATACAGTAGCCAGGAAAAAGCTGTAAAAACCTGAAAACTGTGTGGCCTGTGCATTTTTTTTACTAAGTTTTACTAACGACTTACCCTTGTTGGATGAGTTCATTGAGCTTTGCCACGTTCTTATCATCCATTACTGTCAAAGACAAAACACAAAGTCAGAGAGGCGTTTACGACATGGTCCCTGACGAGCAGCTGTCCCCCATGACTGGGAGCGAGCGGTGTGTTTTAATCACATCCCCGGTGTCCCAGACTAACAGCAGAACAACACTTGCACACAAAACAACTTTAAAAAGACATGCATTCAAACACGGTCTTAACTTACATCCTCCAACTTTTTTGCGGAGCTCGGCATAGCAGATCAGACCGTACAGTTCTTGAGAGGATTTCTTCAGCACTCTGGAGTACACTGAGAAGGAAAGGTGGCACAAGTCACAACACTGCTGTAACCAGCATGGCAGAAGGCATGTGTATGCAACATAAAGATAACACAACAGTGACAGTGGGGGCTCCCTGGAGTGGAAAGGGGCTCAGGCTTATCTTGAGGGGTTTTTTAACATATGTTTTGGGACAAAGTCTCCCTGCCTGACAAAATGCTGAAGAAACATCAGTGTAGGAGTTGTCTCTTAACACCCTTTTGATTCCGGTCTTTCATTTTATTTTTTCCACCACAGCAGTGACCCTTTCAACCACTGGACACATACAGGCGTCATGTTAACTTATCTGACAGCTCTAACGGATATTAGAGAGATGGTAGATAAGATGGTAAAAGTTGCACGTTAATATTTTTTTAAAGTGGGGCTCTAACTGTGAAATAAATACTGTTCTACCCTCCAACTTTCACTGAGACTCAGAACGGTGACACAAACAAAAGGAAGCTCACCATTAGCAAAGTCAATGTGTTTGGAGATCTTGTGCCAGGTCCGGTAGTAAAAGTGGCGAACCTGCTCCTTGTTCTTCACCATGTTGGCTGGCTTGCCTCTCTTCTTGTACTTCATTGCAATGTTGTTCTGGATAGCCTCAAAATCCTTCCCATGCTGGAGACCAGAGTAGTAGAGATAAGCAGAAGAGGAGCAGAAGACACATATGTAGACATGTTAACTAAGTGATACATAACATAAACAACCAACACTTTGTGGCAGGTAGTTTGGTTCTACCCTTTACCTCGTAGAGCCCCTCAAAAAAGCTGTTTTTGTCCTCTGCGCTCCAGGACTCCCACTGCCGACGGGCCCTCTTCTGGTTACCGGCTTGCTCCTCCTTCTCAGAAGACCCTTGGCCCTTGGAGGCCTTGGACACTCCCCCTGTGGAGCCCGCCACAGGCCCCGACTGTCCGACTGTCCCCTGGGAGGATGAGCCATTCTCTGCTCCTGTGTTAAACAAATGCCCACAAATCCATCAGTCTTGAAACATTCAGAGAAAAAAAACAGATGTCAAAACATCAGAGTAAAAAAATGCAAGGATTGAGCCAAATGCTTTGGTTGACCGCCCGTAGTTTTTTTCTATAGCGGGGTAGTAGTTCTAAGGTGCGTGGTTTGGGAGATGATAAAATTCATGCACACAAAGCCACCCACTGCCATTACACTGCAAAACCTGCAACGCTCCCCCTCTGTGGTTCAGCTCTGGCAAGGAGGCAGGAAAAGCGATCAGTCCCTACGGCCAGGTCCATAGTACATGGGTCCAAAACCAACCCGTGGTGGGCTCCAATGGCCAAGTTTGCCCCAGTACAGAGCAGCATGCCAGCAGGCATTAATACAAGCACAGAGGCGGTTGCGGCACTGCTCTATGTTAAGACTATGCAACTGATTTTCAAAATGGTTATTAATTTACAAATGCAAATGTATGTGGATATAGGCACTAACCTAGAAACGTCTCTTTCAAAACAGATGTGTACCAAATATAGCATCATATCAAAATAAGTGGGGCTTCACTGGTCAACTGGTTGACACTTCAGTCTAAATATAAATTTAATGAAACAACACAGTCATACCTGTCAGAGCACACTAATTCACCAATATACTGTAAATGTTTACTTCTGTACGATCTGCGTCCAAATCATAAGGCCTTTTGAAGAGAGAAAAAACAGACATTGCAGAGCAGCATAATTATCCTCATTCACACTCTAATAATTCCTCACTAAATCTGTGAAAACTGAATCCTTCAGTAAGGAAGATACAGGTTTCTTTGTGTGTAGCACTTCAATGACAGGCTCCAAATGAGCAGAAGATTTCAAACATACTGGAGAATAATGCTCCTGTCACTCTCACTTTCTTTACCCCTTTTTACATTGGTGGTATGGAGACCCAAGAGGAGATGCCTCGTTTACATGGACACATTGAATCAAGCCACTTGTCCATTAGTGTTTATCAATATCTGGGTTCAGTGATCATTCTGTGTGTTTAAAAATCATAAAAGGCTGAGCGCCTCGAGTTATCTTTAGCGTTAGTTCTTTTGCTCAAACACTCAATGTTACTATTTCAAGTCACCAGTGAAAGTGTTAGTGGTGATATGTGTGGGTTCATCTTACATAACTGCATTTTGTTTTATTCTGAAACAACAAATTTTAATTCACAAATTTGGTTGGCTCAGTGACTAATTATATTATTGGCTGAAGGCGATAAGATGATCCTGCTATTTTGTCCTAATCTCTGAATAAAGTCTACTCTCAACTCCCTACAGTAATGCCCCATCTTTCTTATCACACTTCTCAGTCTCATTCAGAAACACTGCAGCCTGAAACCTGAGATTGATTTCTCCTCCACTCATTTGATAACGACAGCCATAATAACAGCCCCTTGTTTATACAGCCATGGTGGCAAGTTTCCAAGACATTGTAACTGAAAATAGTCATATGACATCCTAATTGAGATTTCAGTTGTGGCCTGTGACTCTCCTCCTCTTCACAGAGAGGGTTCACAGGATGGTGCTGTAACTTGGGTTGGAGCAGCCAGCAGCCCACCCAGAGTCCAACCAGTGGACGGTGGGAGCCCACAGCAACAAGAAGAGTCCCAGTCCAGTTGAGCCATCCCTGATACAGAAACTGTAAACACAACTGAAAGCAGACCCCCAACCCACCCCTGCTAGTCCCCCCTACACACACACACACACACACACACACACTTTTATCTGAGCCGGTCACCTACGGTACCTTTCGATTTTGCCCCGCCATGTCCATTGATGGTCGAGCCGATTGAATCCTTCCGGATCCGTTTGCTCGGAGGTCTAACGCTGGATCGGAGAAAATGATGCTGGTCGTGACACGGAGGGGCGGGCTCCGCGGAGGTCTGGGGATGCTGGGCTGAGCCTAGTCCGGTTCGGTTCGGCGGAGAGGCGGGGAGGACCGGGGCTGAACCGGGGCTGAGACCCGGGGCTGATGGATTAAGAATTTCCACTCCGTCGTCTCCCTTTGTACTGCGCTCCTCGCTCGCCTGCTCTCCGCTCTCCTCCTCGTCGCAACCTTCGGGCTTTCTGGACGGATTCCTCCTCCCATCGACACCGATCCCCTCTCTGGAGCCCGGTGTCATGCTGCCAGAACACATTCAGGGAAAAATTGTCACATTAGGAGCAAAGCGGTGTGCAAAATTAACTTCTAAAGACGACGATCACTGTCTCTCAACATGGCCGCCGCTGTTTGTTTCAAATCCCCTCTCCAGTCCCGACAAAACAACACCAAATATATGCATTTAACGCCTTCACAGAAATTATATCCAACAACCAAAATAGTTTAGGAACTGACGGCGGCGTTTTACCGAGTGTCTTTCGGCTCAAATCGCCGATATTTGAGGTTGAATTTCAACTAAATTCAAATGCGAGCGCTTTTCAGTTTAGCGCCCTGCAGAAACGACAACGAAACCCCTCAGCGGATTCGACCTCTAAATAAAGTGTTTATTTTAAACATTATTTTACCCATTTTCGTGCTCTTCGGTAGTAGGCGACGTCTTCTTTCTCTTCACCATGAGTCCGACCGGTTAGATTGGCAAATACTGACCAAAGTGAGCATAATAAAACCTAGAGCGATCTCTCCGCTTTCTGCCCTCTCCTTGCTCTTGCCTCGACTGAGCTGAACTCTCTGCGCAGTTCAACTGTTTTCTATCGGCAACAACATTACTCAATGCTTCTTTGCAACGAGAATTAAAACTGTAAAACCACCGACAAGTGAGGGGATATTCAGTGCATGCAGCGAAGAGGAATGTCCCCTAGCCCGTGTCAGTCGGGCTCGTCTGTATCGATCAGTATCGATAGTTTTATTAACCTGTGTGCAAGTGGACTTTGCTTGTCACTACGTCACCGTCGCCTGCAGAAAATGATGTGTGTAAAACTGTGACTTTCGTGTACACCCTGCAACTTTAAGGGTTTGTGACGATACTGCATTGGCTCACATTTCTACAGCCTCACACTAATTATTCTTCATTCGTCAACATCAGGAGCAGGCTTTGTGTGCCCGGTGCACGTCGAGACTGTGTGTATGTGCACATCACTTCATCATTTATAACATCATGTGTCTGCTCCATTAGTTATCCCCCGACTGTGTATTTGTGAACAATCAGAAGGATGGCAGCAAGGGGAAGCTAAACAATGAAAGATTAATTGGACATGAGCAGCTTTAGTCTGAAAATGACGAGGGTTGACCCCCCCCTCCTTTCTACGGTCCGACACAACCTTTTTATATTCCTGGTTTCATTCATATAAACAATAACTTTCACACAACTTCCACCTGCCACAAAATGTCCCTCATCCAACAACAGAGAGAGCCTGAAACTAAGTTTAATAAAGTACTTTAGCTCCGGATTCTTACAACTTCAAGTGGTTGGGATGTTAATAGATGGATGCAACTATGATTTAACTTGTACTCTGCGTCCAACTATCGTTTCAGTGTAACTTCAGATGAATCTACAGTCTCACAGCAGCACACTGGGATCATGCCACAGAGTTACATGACCTATATCCCCCTGCAGTGTATCAGACACTGGTTATACTGGTCTACCCACTGACCTGGGGTTACACTACAACGTTCACGTTACTTTAAAAGTGCAATGTAATAATAGTTTAAGTGATTTACACTGTCAGTCGTCGTTTACTGTGTGGTAGCGAGCTGCGTTAACAAGAGTCGTCTCCACACATAACGTGGTAAACCTAGCATGGCTGCTGGTGTTGGCTAGCTACCGTTAACGCTATAGCAGTCAAACCGGCCATAACGTTACAAACACCGCCTGCGACTTATAATCACTGTGTTAGGTAGAACCTCAAAGAGTCTCCCGGCAGGAAAACATTGTCAGAGTTTAAGAGTTACCTGAAGTGGAAGCCTGTTGGTGGTATTCCCAATCGACACACAGGCTAGCATCGCTAGCTGACGGCAGCCGTCCAACTCGTTACGATGACAGTTCCTGCAGTTCGATTGTCCACGCGCGTAGACACGCCCACTACAACTCGAAAACAAACCATGTGATTGGTCAGAAATACACGAGGACGACGGTTGAAATGTGATTGACAGGTGGCTCAGCCAATCGTTAGTGAGAGACGCCTTGTGACGGACCAATTGGCATTCTCTTCCTGCCACGCCGTGTAAACTTTCACGATATGTATTTTCAAAAGTTGCAAGCCAGCGACCCTTCAATAATTTAACATTTTTGCTCAGGAAATTAGCGCTTTTTCAACGAGATTGGATTACCGCAATGGAGGTTTTTGGCGCTTTTAAAATAAGTTCCGCCCAGGAAGCGATTGACATTTCGAAGCACAAATGAATAGGCAGAATTCAGAGGGTGCACTTGAATTTTATCCTGGCGTACGCCGAAAATCACCTGTCTGTGTGGAGTCAGAGTGTGATATTTACAACAGGCAACAAACCGCTGACTAAAAGCACGGTCGCAAAGGACAACATGTGTCACAAAGGGAGTTTTGATTCAATAAGATGTGCGTTTTACTTTATTTGCTATCAGACTCGGACTCAGCCCACGTTGCCTGCCCCGGTCAGGCGCTCCGGTAAAAAAAGAACAAGCGTCACATATCAAGACTAGTGCACCGGTTCGGTTGTTAAACTCTCTTTGACAAATCGGCAGGGCGGAGTTTTCTGCCTAGTTCTATATAAGACATGTATAAAGCATTGCATGTGTTTAATAAACGTACAAATCAGATGCAACAAAAAAAAAAAAAAGAAAGTGGCTTCAGTTTTGTCTCAAAAGACTTGGGCGCAGTGGATTACTAGTCACATTTTTGCTGAAGGGATACCGGGTGCAATGAAACGAGCGCTCCGCAGGTTGGCAGCGGACCAATCAGATGCCTCTGCGTCACAGTTGGGTGGACTGAAATTCCTCACTCCGGAGTCTGGTTGGGCACGCGCAGACAGGGAACTTGCTAGACGTCCAGTTGGCAAACTGACGAAGTTGTCTTCGGAAACTTGAAGGCTCACAAATAAAACCACTATGACTTCGACGAACATGTTTCAAGGGTTGGATACTGGTACAAAACCAAGTTCAAGGTGAACAATATATTACGTTAGTCGCGTAGCTTGGTGATATGTGAAAGACATGGCCTACGATGTTTTATTTCGAGTGCAGTGAGCGGTTCGTCGGCTCGTCTCAATGTACGCTATAACGTTATACGACAGCAGCTCTTCCTACATTTGTGCACTGTCACTTTTCTGCTAATACCTTCAGTGTTCAGCGATGTCACGAATAAATGGTGGTCGCTCATCTTGACAGCTAGCTTGGTTTGAGTTGTCTCCGCAGTCGCCAACTCAAGAGTGAAGAATTAGCTCCTAAGCTACACGACCAGGCGTTGTCTCCTGCGGAAGTGTGAAAGCCACTTCAGGCTGCTCCTCTTTGTACTCGCCACCGATGGCGTTGTGGCCACATTGTTCTAGTTTAAGGAGGTTTTCCTCAGCGAAAGCCTCAGTTCTTGGGTCGGCCCCGCTAAAATAGTCCATAGTCACGCATGTTGTTGCACTTAATAACACGATAAATTATAGCGGGAAGACTTTTCAGACTTTGGTCAGACCTCCCGGTATATAATCGAGTAGCCTGTTATTTGTCTGCGTTGGCTCAAGCTGTTTACTGTAACATATTTATAGCCAGGCTAGCCTCTGTTTTCTCCTGGTCCTCTTTGTGTGCTAAAACCACGACATCATGTTTCTAACAGTAGTCAGTAAACACGAACCTCCATGACTCAAAGACATTGTATGCACTCTTTAATTTGGGAAGGATTCACAACCTCTGAGAAGGGTTACTTCAATACTTGCTCCGTAGACACAGACTGTTAACATTTAGTGAGATGAATTCCAATTTAACCAGTAAACACACCTCTGTCTCAATATTTGCAAGGTCACACTTGCACAGGATCTAAATAAGACTTGGATGGATGCATTGGATAGCACCCAAGGAAGGTGTCACTATATTCTCTCGTCTCTTGCAGGGTTTTGCAGCCTCCTGGAGGTGGCTCCAGTAACCTGTTTGGTGGCTTCGAAGAAGATTCTGCACCATCAAGAAGACCGAATAAGATGGCCTCTAAAGTTTTTGCTCCAGCAGAGCCGCCCCAGAGTGTACCCAGGCGCTCCAATCCTCCAGGTCAGACCAGCTTGTCAGGGATAATGGATGTGCGTCTGTCGATGTCCAGGGTGTGAAAACTGTTACTGTAATGTGATGATTCCAGTGTCAACACTGTCCTCTGTGCCTGAATGTAACCCGCCTCCAGATTTTGTGGTGTGTGTGGTAGATGCAGGTATGTTTCCACTCTACTGTTGAAAAACAGTCCGAGTTTCCAGAAGTGACTGCTTGGTCACCCTGACTGCCTTATCTGCTGATTCTCACTGTGTATATGACAGTATAATTTGCTTATGTCCAACGGTGTGACGCTGAAGGGAGAGTGAGTAGTCGTCATGACACGGCCGCAAAACGTGACCAACGTCTTGGTAATGTTTTTTTGTAGGTGGGAAGAGCAGCGGAATATTTGGAGAACCTGAACCTCCAGCTCAATCACAGAGACCCATCCCTCCAGGTGGGCAGAGCAGCAACATATTTGGGGTTGCAGAAAGGGCACCTGCCCCAAGCTCAAGCAGGGGTCACCCAAATAAGCCAAAGGTAGGCCGTGCACCTACATTTCATACTCCATTTTCACTATACTTGTGTTTTTCTTTATTCTTTTTCACCCCTGACTCTTAAACCCGTAAACATACAGGAACAGTTCATCCAAACTTTGATCTGATCCTCATTTTATCCTGTAATACTTGAAGAGCACAGCATCTGTGTCACATACCCCAGTATATCAGTCTGTCTTCTCCATGGGTCAATAGTGTTTGTGCAACCAGGCCACTGCTCGCTAAGACTGCTGAGTCTTTTGCAACAATCTCAGCTGTGACACAAATAAATTGCAGGCAGTCACTAATCAGCAGAAATCAGCTAACTTACCAGTTTTTTGTAAACACGTTGAGGTTGTTAGTGGCTGTGTTTGTATTTCATCAATAAACAGAAAGCCAGGATTCACTGACTAGATTAGGACAAGAATTCCTGAATTTATTCTGTTTTTGTGAAATGCCCCCCTGGAAAACATAGTAAAGGCATGTAAACATGAGGGAATGTCTCAGTTACTCATGACTTACTTACACGTACGTTACTGTGATTGGGTCCCTGTGGAAAGTCTTTATTTGCTCGCAGTTTAGGGAAACATACCGACATCAACAGTATTTATGATCATTAGTTTATGACAGAAGTTCAAACTGATGTTGTGGTGTTATCCTAGACTGATTGAACAGCCTGTCAGTATGACCTGAATAAAGTTGCCATCCTGTGTTCAAGGAAATAATTCAAATAAACTTTACTTGCATACAAAAAGTGTGAAATCTTTGCCATAAAATAATTAATTCTATTAAAAAAAATTACATGAATCTGTGTCACAAGGAGATTTCGCAGCTGCAAACGCAGTCAAACTACTCAGTGTGGGTGATGGTCACTCACTATGACTCATTTGATCCTTTACGCAGAGCACGTGATAGAATTGTATATGATCATTGAGGAAGATATCGTGTTCAGCCTTATTACAAGTTCTGTTGACTATAAACATGCAGTTTAGGTATTTTCATTTTCCTTTTATTTAACAAGGTAAAAGTCTTGTTGAGATTAAAATCTTTATTTCTGGAGAGACCTGACCACGGCTGGTAGAGTATAAATGCTGTTTTACAGAATTTAGCTTGATTTGAAGTAGAACAAAGATGAAGGATGGTTTTAAGTCCTTTCATTGATTACACTGTGAGAAACCTCTTATCTTTAATGTTTTACAGGACAATCTAAGTGTGGGACCTGAACCTGAATCACCAGGTGAGTTTCTTACGTACAGAACAATGTCCATGTTAAATGTTTTTGGGAGATTTGTCTTCTACGGAATAATCCTTCTCCCTCCACTCACTGTAGCATTGAACGAACCTCTGATCACAGGGATTAGAATATAGTTAGGTCTTTTTTGTTTTTTTAATTGAGACAAACTGTCTTTCTTCTTGATCCTGAGTTTTGCAACAACTGGTTATAAGATCAACTGTTGCCTTAAGTTTGAAAATGTTGACATTTTTATTGTAAAGTATAAACACAGAGAACAGCCATGCTTGTAATCTCTATATATAGTTAATGCTGTTCTGTTGAGATTATGAGTTAATTATTTTCCTTATCTTGAGAAAACAATCTTTGTTATTCCGACATAATCATTACAAGAAAACAAAAGGTCATTTCCTGTTTTTACTTAAGCTATTCATTTCCTGGCATGATCTCAAAAGTTACCTCTCAGATGTGCATTCAACAAAATTTCAGTTATAAATCTTTCCCGTCAGACTGATTTTGAAAGCATCAAATCAGGTGTGGCCAAAAGAACTAGACACTAATTTTTGAGTTCTCCATGATTATCCTGCGTTCTCGAGAAAACAAAGTTGTGTTCTTCTGAGAAATCTTTTGAAGATGAACTTGTGATCTCGATAATGGCATTAACAGCTGTTCTCTGCTTCCGTCATTCTTGTTTAAGACTTTGAAGAGATTTCTATTCTGTATTACAATCGGAAATAGGTGGTAATATCTTGAGGATATTATTCTGTTCTGCCATTTTTGTAAATCCTTTTTTTTTTTTTTTCCCCCCCTTTTTCTTCTCCAAGCACCCGAACCCAAGGTCAGTCAACCTGAGGTGAAGGAGGAAGCTGCCCCTCCAGCTCCCGTGCCAGCCAAAGAAGAGCCTGTTGCGGTCTCAGCCCCTCCAGAGCCTGAGCCCTCTTCTTCCCCTTCCTCTTCCTCAGCTCCCGATGAGAGAGATGAGACTACTGGTATGAAGAAGCACGAGCCTCATCTGGGACCCAAGCCTCGCTCTCACAACAGGGTCCTCAACCCCCCCGGAGGAAAGTCTAGTGTGGTATTCTACTGATGAGCTGAACACACCACTCCGACCTGTCTGTGTCCATACACTCCTCGTCTGCTCCTCTGTTGACCTTCTCTCATTCCAACTCCCCCTCTCCCCACTGGTCTTTCACCCGTGCATCTCATAGCAGACAGGAATTTTTGTTCTTCACACCAGATTCCTAGTCAAACATGTTGTCCTCAACTTCTTGCACTTTCAGCCCTTTTTCTGTTGAAGCTCTTTGTTCAGATCTTGATAATCTTCTTCACTGAAACCTGCAGTTATACAATCACCAACTGATCAATCAACAGGCTAGCTATTGCCCGATAACTGTAACTGTGACACTGTTCAGTCTCAATATTGCGGTTACTGTTTTTCACTGTGTCTGTGTTTTTCAGCATGTTTAAATGCAGTTGGGTTTAAGGCACAATTATTTGTCGTTTTTTGGAAAAGTTTTTGCATCTCAAGAATGGTTAAGACGTTGGAGTGCTTGTGCGATGTTCAGCTTTAAACAGTCCTAGATTCCAATTATTTGGTGTAACCGTAATCCTCGCGTGATAAATTCAACTCAAATGTCAGGGTGATTTGTTTTAAACCTTAATGTGTTCAGTCAGAAGGGGGTGAATAAGTCTTTTCACCAATGTAATATGTAAAATGTTTCAGGGCGTTCCACTAGTGCCAAATCCTTACTGGATGATGACATAGAACCTTTTTTGTTTGGCAGTTTTTCAAAATAATGTTTTAGACAACAACCAATGACCGTATAATCAGAAGCCTTACGTCAGCTAAATATATTTCATCTTTCTTGCCTTCTCATGAATTACTCCTTCATGGTTTCCTTCTCTAGAATACCAAAATCGACTTCGAAACAAAGATGAATGCGATTGTTGACTCCCCAATGTTTCCGCTTCCTTAAAGAAATTCCATTTTGATTTTATGCGATTGTATTATGTAGGTGCTTTTCTGCTTCGTCCTCATTGCTTGCTTTATCTGAGAACATGCCTTTTTTTTTTTTTGCTTGGGGTAGGCCTTTGTTTATGTTTTAAATTAAAACGGCTGAAGACAAGTGAACTCTGGACAAGCGTGTGGCCTACCTGAGTCCAGGTGGGCTCATTGATAATCACCTTTTCACCCACTTCATGACGCACATTCATGGTATTCTGGTGCCAGCCTGTCCCCTGTGTGTTGATGTGCCTGGCAGGCAATGAGTGCAGCAGAAAGAAATCCTGTGTATTGCAATAAAACTGTTGTTTTGCATTTAGAGTTTGCTTATTTTGTTTACTTTCCAAAAACAGAAATATGACACTTCTTTGACTATTGAATATTTAGTAATTACTAATTGGAAGTAGTGTAGTAACAATAGTAGCAGTTTAATTTAAAAGTAGAAATACCACGTGTACCTTGTTTAAATGTTTGTCTGGATCTGGGAAAATGTGACATACAAACTAAGTTTTGTCTGCTCCAGATTTATAGTTAATTCTTGAATCTCTGACACTGATGCTTTTGTCTGGATTTGCCCTTTTGGCAGCACTTTGTGCAAGCTGCTTGTTCAAAAGACAAAATGGCCACTTAATGCCTTGGAGGAAAATGTAGTTTTAGCTTTTTACTACACATTGGAACCTCTGATACTGTTTCATTTTTTTTATCCTTTTTAAGCAGCAAACTAAATACATGTGAGTATACACAGATACTGAGATAAGTAGACTTCATTTATGATACCAAGAAACTCTCAAAACTAAGCCTCCTTATTTTACATCTAAGTACTGATGAGCATTTTATTGCTTAAAAGAAATGGATAATACTCACATGCATTTCTTACAAACGAAAGCCAGAGACAGCAGGCGGGGCTGGTTGTGTGTAATTTGTAAGCTCAAAGGTCATATGCCTACTTATGTAAGACTTATTACAGGGTGTCTGCGGGGTCTTAAAAAGCCTACAATCCAATAATCTTAATTTAAGACATGATTTTATATGATTTTTACAGGCCTTAAAAATTGATTAATAAAGTATCTCTTTTAAATGTGTATTCATCTACAAAATGAAACCGACATCAAACCAATACAGATTTTCATTCCTATCCTTCAAAGTTGAACTTGTTTAAACCTGCAGAAACCCTGTACGACATACTGTACATGCTGGAAGCCGTAAAAGGTGACGCTCGGCATCCTATAATGCTGCACAATTGTGGGTAAAAGATGACATTGGTGTAGAAAAGTTCTATGTGATTGCTTGGACGGTTATGACCAGCATCTCTTTCATATGTAGCTTGTCTGTAAGAGCTCTCACCAAATGTTTCATGGGGAGCAACGAATGAAGTGTGTGTGGGTGTGTGGTATGAGAGTGGCAAATTCAGTGTTTAAAGCAATAACAACATGAGACAAGTGATCAATATATATATATATATTGAATTGCAAAATAAGATGTCTACTTAAGAACCAAATAAAAACAAACATAAGAAGCACAAAATGACCACGCAGATTTGATTTCTTTGATAACTGAAAGCCTGGACCTTGGAAGGACTAACCCGCCCTCTGCTGGGAGTGTCTGAAGAAATCATGAATGGTGTGAAATGTAAATATTGTTAGTATTTCACTGCCACCTACTGAGTGAAATAAGGACCACTGAAGCTTTATGCCGATGAAAGGATTCCAGCTTTGGACACACAGTCAATATTCTTTATGGCAGATTTAAAAGTTTAGCTCACAATTTATTCTGTGTTTGTCTGACTTGAATTATGTCGATTCACTGCTGCCGATACACACACTGTACATTAACACTGCTGTCTCTCTTTCCAGTAGCATGTCACCGGTACGCACTGTGAACCGGGGAAACTGAAATATTGAGGTAGTTAAGATTCATTTGTCTGTGGAGCTGTGGGTCCTTTATCTACCCAGTTTGTATGCTTCATTGACCAGTTTTTGTCTCCATTGTTAATCGTCTCCACAGCAAACAATAGCCCAAGCTACAGTTGTCAGGCTGAACGAAAGGTCAATTGAAAGATGTTTGCTCTCAACTCTTTCCCCTTTTGTTATTGTCTGGAAGTGATTTTATGTCCTATACTGTGGGGTCTTCTCTGTGGGGTCGTGAGGCTGTAAGCGCCCACCCCTCTTATGTTAAGGCATTAGTCTCATCAAGCATGAATTAGTCCTGGCCTGTTGATAATATTATCTTACACAGGGAACAACAGTATACGTGTGTAAATTCCATTACGTTTAAAGCCTTTTAAAGGCAGGGAATAAATAGAACAAATAAAGACCAACGCAGCTCCAAAATAAAGTAATAAAATCTTTTAATGTTGCTTGGTTTAGTTGGAGATATTCATCGCTCTTTATGCTGACCAGGAATGTCCATTGCATGAAGATTGTTCAGCTCTGTTCATCTCTTTTGCAGAGTTGAGTGCTTCTGCTGAAAAAGCAGTCTGTCCATGAAAATCTGAAATTCTCCCCATCTTGATCAAATGCATGCAAGGTCCTGTCATAGAGGTTAGTCCCGTCTCTGACCATGTTTCAAAATTGCATCCAAGTGGCGGAAATCAAAGTGAAACATACTGAAAGAACTAGCTGTATATGTCCTCTTAGTTCATGCAGGTTCTTACCAACCAGCACTCCTTATATTCCTGATTATTTCACTGTCGTCAGTTAAAGATCATTCAGTAGTGTAAATAATGGTTGAGCTGCACAGCCAACCTGACATATGACAGGAACAGACCTGTTTCCACTGTGATGATGATATAAACCAACATGTGTTAATATGTAGTTCTCATATGCTTCAGGCACAGTGAACCCAATCTACAGTACTTTGGAAAACACAACTTTAAAATGTGTAATAAGATACATTATCATTGCCAGTGTTCAGACAATGTGAGCGGATCTATCAGGAGCTGCTAGTTAAACAAAAAGGTTTTTTAAAGTACTTTTATTCTGTCAGGTGGGGATTTGTATTTATTAAAATGGACCCTCAAATGTGAACGTTTAGCTTTAAAATAATCTTTAATGTTTCATAAAGTCCGGCCCTGTATAATTGTTTGTTTGTTTGGATTGTGAAGCATTTACTTTCATTTTTAGAGAGTGCATTGTCATTATTATTAAATTCTAGCACCGGGTCCTGCTGTAGACTTTGGTCAAGTGAGTTACGAAGGAAAAACGGCAACTTCCGGTTTCAACTTTCAAAGTAAAACTACTGGCAAACGTGTCTGCATAAACTAAAGTGTATAATCTAATATATCCTACATTATAAATAAAGTATATCGATATTTATATCTATTTAAACATATTTCATAAATGAGCTCAGAATAGAGTAGTTTTTAAGCATTGAGCGCTTACAGCAGAAAAGTATTATTTTAAACATTCATATTAAGTGTACTCCAGATTAAGCACTTCAGTTAAAGTGAAGGACACAGAATAGACAGGAATGGTGAAAACTGAAGCAGCAGCAGCTGAGATATCCTGCTTTTTACTCCCTGGTATGGTTCAAAGTTCAGAAACACTGAATCCTACATTTCCCATAATGCAACTAAGAGCATTGTTTTCTTTGACCCTCTTTGTCTGGAAAATGCCCACGTGTTTCAAACTCCACACCCTCAGTTTTTAATGCAGGCTTTGTTATAAATGTGTAGTCTCCTGACTCAAACAGAGATCAATTTGATAAAAACAAGAGGGTCTCAGACAGACAGCTCCAGAGCCACACAAAACTACCAGTCCTGTGTGATACTTTTTAATGTATAAACTCTGTTTTTCTGTCATTTAGTTAACTGATGCCCCTGCTTTAGTGACATATTTTATGGATATTTCATGTTATATTAAAAACTGTACAATTAACCCAAACAGTGAACTCAAGAAGTTTGTGTAAAACTATTTATATAGAGATATATTTTTGTTGTCTTGTCCCTGACACTTGATCGTTGCTCTATTAGAGAAAATGTACTTTTCTTTACAGACATGCGGCAAATGCTGAGATATAGGCCTACAATGTATATTCTGTCCTTTTTTATTAACACACCTTAAAATGAAGAAGACCCCCATGTCCCTCCCATGAAGCTTTGGCGACCCCTAGTGGGGTCCCGAACCCCATGTTGGGAACCACTGCTTTATACTAACACAAAAAAACAGAAAACTCTATCATGTGAAATTAAAACACTGGCGTTGTTTGTCTTTGTGAAGATGAGTTTTTGCAGTTATTCCCCCCATCATCATAATTTT